GTGCTAATAAATTTAAGTCGGGGTCAAAGGTCACTATTAGCTCAACTGCGCATGGGCATTTTGCCTCTCCGTATTGAGACTGGGCGATTTAGACACGAGCCTGTAAGTGAACGAATCTGTAAATTTTGTGATGCAAACGTTGTTGAGGACGAAATGCATTTTTTGACTGTCAGCAATACAATGAATTGAGGCATGAGTATCTAGATTCAATTCTTAATGAAATCACTGGAATATCACGGGAACAAATACTGGTTCGTTTATTTTCAGGGCCAATAAGAAAACTTGCTCTTTTTATAGAAAAGGCTTTTTACAAAAGAAAAAAATTGTTGTACGTCTGAATTTAATGAACTACACGATTGTATTGTTGATATATTATTTAAAGCTCTTTCATAACCTTTATTTGTAAATGTAATCGTTATTAAGGTAACTTATAAGTCCACTGGGATGGGCAGTTCTGAGCTGCAGGTCACCATAATAAATTACTTCCGACATTTATAATCTGTCAGGACCCCATGTAGTGCTATTATATTAGTTGATCACGTTTTTATTGAAAACCCACCAATATTTATAATAGTAGAAATGTTCCCAATCATGAAACGCGTGTCCAGATGGATTGTGTGGGAATCCACAAACGTATGGTATAGCGCCCTCACACGATAACATATAGTCAGGAAATAAGGTGAAACAGTATTTCTCCAGTTTCATGCATTCACATATCATATTGTGGATGAATCATTTTTTTTATTAAGTCTGCATTGCAGTAACAAGAATGGGACATGGTCGTCTTGAATCCACATTTTTGTGGAGAAAGGGATTTCTGACGACACAAAACCATGCAATGTAAAATTAGCTTAGTGACTTGTAAATTGGATCTGCTGCAGAGATGTCAAATTATTTGTTTATTGGAAATTTTTTTTTTTTTTTTTCAAATTTCTGTAAAAGAGTGTCCTAAAATTAATCACCGATATTATAATGCATAGACTGTCCTATGATCCTTAGAACATACCCGTGTTGAATTCCTGCCTAGGATTAAACACTAAATACAGAGAGTCTGTGCAATTGACTAAATGGGGGAAGACAAGATTCATTAAAATGTCATAATGATAGAACAGTATCAAAATTGTAATATGGCTTCTGTGCAAAAATGCACTACCATATTTGCTCTATTATTAGCATTACAGTAGCTTGTTGAGCGACTGTGGTAGCATATGCATTTACTTAAAGCGAGGGAGTTGTCACCTGTGCATGTGTCAGATGGGCATAGCGTGTAATAGTTTACAAGTGTATACCCACGAACCTTTGCGTTTTTAACGTGTGTTGATATCTTCGCTTGGGACTCAATTTCCGTGCATGCGCAGGTGACGACCCTCCGGCTTTAAATTAGAGACACTTCTTTAGTAAAAAAAAGTCAAAATAGAATAAATGAAATTGTGGTTTTATGTGAGCTTTTATTGGAAATGCGCTTCTAATAGAGAAAATATGGTACATGCACCATTAACATGAACTTGCAATTTGGGTGAAATGAAAAGCCAGGAGTGACAACAGCGTCAGAACTGTGACCAGTCAGAAATATAAAAATAGTGTCACAGAAACTATTGTGCGTATAAAAGTTCTAATTTTGATAATAGAGGGCGGTGTTGGTCACGCTGCGTCAAATTCTATATGGGACCCACATCAATGACTCACGAAACACATAGTATAATCTACAGGTTTGTTTTATTTGCATTATCTCCATAGCAACATTGCAATGCATAAACCACTATGTACATCAATTCCACTTTTCTATAACCACTGTACTAGTGTTGACAGAAATCACAATGGTTTTACTGGTTTCCAGAAAGTTATTTCGTGACTAGCAATTTGAAAATCAAAAAAGAAAAAAACCACACACAATTCAAAATGGTCGCTAAACAAGGGCTTAATGCTGTATAATTTCCATGGAAACAATTTCTTGTAACCCCTCTTTTTCTGTTGGCACCTTTCGCTTGGCGAAAATTCAAAAAAATGTTATTTTAGATTTTGTGCATTTGTTCCTAGTTAACACATCCATCTTTGAGTTGAAGCAAGTTGGGGGCGGACCATTTAATATCCTGAGGGGCAGGAAGATTTTGTGAAAAAAAATAAAAAAAATTCTACACTATGCATTATTTTAAATATTAGGGACAAGGTCTGCTGAAAAAAAATAATTCCATATCAGATAGGGGGAAAAAAAAAGTAGGCTTCATCTCCTGGCCCCCCAGGATATCAAATGGTCCACCCCTTATGGTAATGCAAGCAACCATTATTTGGAAAGAAATACCAATGAAAGCAAGCAATTTACGTATAGCAAAATCTATTTGTTTCCATGGAAATACAATTATGATACTGACAGAATGGAATCTTAAGTTTCACATGGTGAAAACCTTTGCAATTCACAATGAATATTTTTTTTTCTATTACAACGCCCTCTTGTGGTATAAAGCAGTGAAAGCAAATACAGAAAGCGCAATCACATAAAAATCAAAATGAAATAAATGATGGCAAAAACACAAAAATAAATAACAGACCATTTTATAGGTTTATAACACGTCTAAAATTAAATTATATTAATATTTACACAACATGCAAAATACATCATTTGATGTGAATCTGATTCTTCCCCCCCCCTATAATGAATAATGAACTCGCCCAGTTCTTCACAAATCAGGGGTAAAAATGATGAATTAGGAAATATAAGTTTTACAAGTTCAAGTTGAAATAATATCAGTTAAAATGTTCTCTGAGGCAGATCGATAAAATAAAATTAAGATTTTTTTCTTTTAAGTAAAAAACTTCTCAAAGCACACTTGATGTAAATGCAGTATTTACAATAATTATAGAAGCAGAATTCAATTTGTACATTAACAACTTCTGAAATAAAGTGGTCATGTGACTTTAATTTCAGAATCACATGACTTGTTTAAACCAATCATGAGAAAGGATTGATTTTGCGTTGCCAGGCGATTGAAATGATTCTGATTGAAACAAACTGCATGTTGCAAGCAGGATTAAAACTGTTTTAAGACAAAGTGTTAGGTTTTTCAGTGAGAAAACATGTACGACATTTTACAATAATTTAGAAAAATGATATGACTTTTGGGAGCATATATTAGAAATCTCCTGCCTTTCAGTTAACTTATTGCAGTCAAGAACATATGGAAGATTGTGGCAAAAATAGCCAAATTATTTGAGTAAAAACAGACAATTGATTAAAATTTTGTCCACTGCTTCCAAAATTAGGGTTCATTTAAAGAAATATTGAAGAAGAAAATGAAAAATGTGCAGACAAATTTAGGCGAGAAAGTCTGGTGGTGAAAGTTCATCAGTTTATCATAAATAGTATTTTGTGTGCTGTAGTAACATAGTAAAGTTTGCCATAAATCAAATATTGAACAAACTACATACAAATACTATAAAAGCATCTATTTTCACTGGTATTTAAGTTAAAAATTATGATTTTTAGAGCATATTTACTTAAATTCACTGATTGGTTTGTTAATTTCACTTGGCAAAAAAATTGCAAAATTAAAGCCCAGTAAAAAATTCATGCTTTCACAATACTATACCTGACAGCAAATAGTATCGTCTGATTCATTTGGAAATGTTTTGACCAAAGTAATTGAAGTTGACAATAGCAGTGTGACATGTTCAATATATATAACAAGTATATTAAAATAAACCAGCACTTATGGGAGAAGTAAGCAAGAAGATTTTAAAGAAAAATACTGTATGAATGATATGAGTAAAAATATTGCAGAAGATCTGCTCAATGTTTGTCTGATCTGATCAATACATCCTTTTAATTTCAACAAAGACATGATTGTGAATGGACCTTCAATGAAAAGTATTAAAAGTTTTTTTTCTCTTGTCCGATATACAACGGATAACCTGATTGGCTACAGTATTTTCGACTATCCAATCAGGAGCCAGATGTCATCACAAGTGAAGATTCCCATAACTTCTATTCAAAATGAGGCTTGCCTTGAAATCAGAAAAAGACTAGACATGATCATGTTTTGGCATTATTGTTGCATAACAAAGACTTTGGCACACACAAGTCATAAAATAGAAAAAAATCAGAAAAAGGAAGTGTTATGACATTGCATAATTAGCACAGTAGACTCATCATGTATCGTATTTGCTCTATTAGCAGGGCATGTGCTTATATAAATTACAGAAATATTTCTATGATCAAAATAAGTCATGATTTAACGATTTAGCATACATGTATAACAAATGAGTTTTTGATTTTATATGCGCTTCTAACAGAGCAAATACGGTAGTGCTTGTATTAAATTTTCTCAATCTAACGTTTCCATGTAGCGCCCCCTGCACTAAGTACATTTCATTACTATTATGGGGTAAGAGGTTCTGTTGTGAGGTGTCGTTGTCTTCATTGTTAACTGTATTGCACCTTGACTTCAAAATATCCTATGGTCGATAAGCTGGAGCATTCTTAGTATCACTTACTTGCAAGATTGTTCTATCTTGCGCTCAAGACAGAACCACACTATTGGATATGCAATTATTTAAAAAAAAAAACTGCTCCATCTTTCCTGATGGATATGATACATCTTTTGTTTATAAGATAGGTCCCTTCCGTATAGACTTCAACGCAGCCAGATTGCCTGCCATGACTGCCATTGGGGTGGTAACACTAAGGTGGCTCGTGTCACTTGTTACACTACTTTGCCCAGTCGACATAAAAGATGATGAACTCGTAGAAGACATTGTTGTTGTTGTTGAGGAACAAAGTTCCGTCATAGATGATGCATTAGTCATTCCTAATTGCCGTAGTTTATCAACCAAACTATACCGTGCGGAAGGCATGGTGGCAAACGACGCAGCACGCATTTTGGTGCCACCCATGATGATGTTACGCTGGACTATTCCACTAGGTGGTTCAACTGGGGGTGGAAGTAATGGAGTCTCTGTTTCATCAGTTTTTTCTTTGTCTATTTTCTCAGATGATCCCATTGGTGTGATACCACGTTCTTGTAGAAGTCTAGCAAGTCCCACAGTTGTACTAAACGTTTTAGTTGCTTTGTCCCTTTCAGCAGGAGGGTCCATAGGGCTACGAAGACTCAGAAGAGGCATTGAACTACTAGTGGTACTGAAATAAAACATCCCAGTTAGTAAAACAGTAGAACAGTTTTTGTATCAAACACCGCTACTCGACCGCATGAGCGCCCACGCCCGGGCAAGCGCCCACCCCCCACTTTTGCGCAATTTTTATATTTGGGATCACATTCGGCAAAGCGCCCACCCCTTCAAAATGCAACTAATTTAAAACTTGGTCTTGCGTAACGAATCTTGGTAATCGTTTTTATATGATACAGCGTGGATATTGATCGCTGTGAACAAGTTGTGAATGCGTAGAACACGGTAACCGTGCGAAAACTACGCTTCGACAATGACCTGTTAATACAAGTAAAATGCGATAAATATTTCATGCCATATTCAGTTTACCTCTCAAAAATGGCTAGTTAAGAGTTTTTTTGAAAAACCATGTCGTTTATTCGCTGAAATCAACTCCAACAGATCGTACGTCGACATCGATTATTCACTTCCGTATTGCGTTACCGGAAAGTCTTCGTGAATTTCCGAAGAATTGCGTCAGTACAACACAGCATTCCGATTAGTTAATAACCAACTTGACCCATTAGGTCAAAGGACGCTGCTGTAGGTCAAATCTGCAATTGCATCATGGCGGAAAGTGATTTTCATCGAGAGTTTGCGTACGATCCATCAACTTCGTCAGTGGAAATAATTTGACAATTTTGACTTTGACTGTGTTCCAACAGACTCAAATGTTTTTAATTCCATAAATTATGGTGGTACGTAATTAATATTGTAATAAAATGTGCGTATTTTTTGTGATCATTTCTGTTTCTTCATTGTGAAAATCAATGACGACGCAACTAATTTAGTAATTTGATTTTCCCGCAAAGACGTAATCTGTCACTTGATGAATCAAAATTTTCATTTGCACTCTTTTTCGAGGGGGGTGCTCGGGTAAGCGCCCACCCCTACAGAATCGTGATTTTCTGAGTTGAGGCCTCTGGGTGCTAACGCAGTAGAGTACGATACATGAAATGTGTCAATCTTGTATAAAATGAATCAATCTTGTATAAAATGAATCATTCTAGTGAGAAATAGATGAATCTTTTATAAAATGTATTAATCTAGTATATCTATGCTAAGAAATACAACCTACCTACTACTGCAGCTGCTGCTAAGTTGAGTGTTGTCATCTAGATGCAGTATCTTTGATGTAGTAAATGTTAGAGTTGTATTTGTATTTTCAAATTTACTCGGTGCCGAGTATATTGAAGCTGTAACAAAATAAAAAACAAGGATGCTTTATACTGCTATATATTTTGGAACAAATCAATATACAAGGTAGTATATTTTGGGTGGTGGCCAATCAGCAATGAGGACAAATTATTAAAAGTCATTATATGTTAAAGAGACACGTGGGTGATAATAATCGAGGAAGTGCAAAGGAACAAAGAAGCTCGTTCTAAAATGGCATTACTATAAAATTATCCAGGAAGGATAGAAAATTAATGCACAAATATTTCCTGTGCAAAATATTTGGACAAAAGAAGTACTCTATATACAGGTCAAGAAAGTATGGCTGAATCAAAAAAAAGTATTACTGGTAATACGGGCAAAAGAAAGTAATTTCTATACAAATATAGACAAAATTATTTTTAAATGCTTGCATTGCGAAAGAAGAGAACTTTTTATACAGATATGATCAAAGACCATATATTTGCTATATAGAAATAGGAGTATGTTATTAAGATCGGCAATACCAAGATGTAGGTGCAAAGCCAAATAAGATGCACCAGGTATTCCGTAAATTGTTACTTAGTAAATGGAAACAGAAAGCGATAAGGTAGGAGTTGTGACTGGCAGTGTGGTAGCTTTCTTTGAAGTTACTATAGCGATTCTTATTTTGTTTCATCAGCGCACATTGTTCAAACAAACTACCTCACAAACAGTAAACTTTTGGTTGATACTTGTATTAAAAATCTCTCCTTCGTGCTTATTTTTATTTTTTATGGAAATATTTTCAATTGCCAATACTTAATTGACATTCAAAGATGTAATCCATGCACCGATAGACTTCTAAAAGCATTCTATAGTCTTGTATCCTATTTAAGAAAACACTCCTTTGCACTTCTTGTTTTTATAACACCCAAGGATGTCATGGCATAGTCTGAACAGTGGACAGGATTCTGCAAGGCATCTGCGCACCAAAAATACAGCCTAACAGCCTTGCAGGTTTTTGAGCAGAAGTAACGATGAATATACGGATGCTGGATGCAGTACAATCTCGGCGGGTAATCAAACCTATGGATTGTACAGTTCATAAGTTCAGTAAAAGCCAAAAGTCTTTAGTCCAATTGATAAGTACATCCACTGTACAGACAACGCCAGACATCACATCTTATTGCATAATTGCATGCATATCAAGTACTGTAAAATGACTAATTTTCACTGGGTTTAAATTTCACTGATTTACCATTTCAGGCATATTTAGTGGGTTTTAAATTCACGGTTTCGTCATTTAGATAATGTGTTCTATGCTAAATTTTACATATTCACTGTGTTTTAATTTAGCGCATTTCTCCAGTCAGCGAAATAAGCTAAATTAAAACCCAGTGAATAATTACCCCCTTTACAGTAATAGTCATTATCAACATACTGTCAGTATTTAACACATATTATCCAGTATCCATAAATAGCTATTAGAGTCATGTCAAAGGTCAAATTGATAAAGTAAAAGACCAGTTAAAACATGAATGACACCGCCTTTAAGTATTAACCATACAAGCAGACACCCCCCCCCCAGCCATTGATATGCCTGAAAGCAAGACCTATGCACATGAGAACACCAGAAACTTCCAATTAGCATTTCCAGCAGCGCCCTCAAGAGACCAGACAAACTGAAGGACTGCATTCCTGATCTTTTTCTTGTCACTACAGTTTTGATTTATGTATGAGAAGAATACTGTGCGCACATGCAAGACAGCACCACTATCCACATGTACTTACACACTATGAGATGTTCTCTTGCCTTTTCAAAACAAGCATCATGGCATCGGATGGTAGAAAACAACTTAGCACAAACCCGACCACTTTATGAATCCAAACTTTCAGGTTTGTATGTATCCAAATAAACTATTGAAACGAGCAACAAAATAAAAACATGACGCATACTACGGATTTGGTGATGCCCAACTTGGAGCAATCCTAGACGCCATGCATTGCTTCAGATGAGAACCAACTCAACGTTCATGATCAAAGAGGGAAAGATACTCTCATAGATCAGATGAAGAAGAGACTACTACCGAGCACAGACGCAGCAAAGAAACCAGGATAATTGATCACATGACTACAATAACAACTTAACAACAATGTATATTAGAGTTACTGTAAATGTTATACCCCCCCCCCCCAATAACTTTATTTCAGCCAATTCTGCAGCATACAGTAGATGAAATATTGTACACTATATCGACCACTTGGGAGTCATTATTATGACATCATAGTTTAATAGAATGCATTAAACAGGTGCATTATTACCAATAATGACTCACCTATATGACCATCATCTTCCACATCATCTAATGTAAATACTTCTTCTTCATGTTCTAAAGTTTTATAATCTTTGACATAAATACCCGGTCTTGTATCCAACATACTGGCCATATCAGGGGTTGCTAGTCTCTGCCAGTGATGTAGCGTCATGGACCCTGTAACAACACATCACACAATAATATATGATCACAATTATCATATATCGTCATTATATATTCTATTATTACATCTGTCAGGGTAACGCGCCATATTAAGAAACACAAATTCCAAATATGGAATGATTACGCGTGTAAGTGTCCTCTAATAACAAGAAAATGGCTGCCCCCAGGGTTTGACCGGACCCAACACAAAGAAGCATTTCCATGATGTATTCTGGGGGGGGGGGATGTATAATAATAAGGTTATTACGAGGATACTGCAAAGTATGCACTCAGACAGAAGGCAATCACATCAACCTCAGCTGTGTGTCGGTCAATACTCCCACTGTACTGTCTTTGTGCATATTTTGCAGTATCCTTGTAATAATCTCATATTATCCATAGACATGTTTATGTATTAAAAAAATACTTTATTTCAGCTGGAATCAATTATCTCTGGAAAGACATTTTGAGTGTTTTGTATAGAATTTATTTTCACTGATTTTTGATATGTAAAATATAAGAAAAAAAGGCATATTCACTGGATTATACCTTCAGAGAAAATAGAATCTAAAAAAGTAATTTACAGTATCCCATTGTCTGCTGGCACCCTAATTACCCGTTAATTTTAGTATGTCTACAGAGACTTTCAGCAGGTGTTTTAAAAACGACAATGCAATCACCAAACACTTTTGTTAATACTGGCTTATATATCTTATACTCGGCTTATATGTACTCTATTAGTAACGCATACACTAATAATAAGTGTGTTTATTCATTTCACCACCAGTTCCCTCTTTTCATCACAAATTCACAAAATAGTCCCTTTTATAGTCTGCACTTACCTGCAGAAGATAGGGACAAAAATAGCCATATTTTTTGAGTAAAAACTGAAAATTGACGCAAATTTTTTCTGTTGGCTCCAAAATTAGGATTCATTTCCAAAAATATTGAAGAATACAGAAAAAAAAGTACAAAATAATTTGAGAAAGAAAGTCTGGTGGTGAAAAGGTTATGGTCGAAAGAAATCATAGTGTACAATACATGCAACAAATATAGAAATCATATTTCTCTTACCCTCCATTGGTTTAACAATCTGTAGTCTTTCTGGGATATATGACCGGATTCCCATTCCAGATCCACTGGAATACCCAGAATACTCGGAAAGCTCAGAAAATGATCCAGTAGACATGATACTTTCTGGTGAGGTGCCAGTCGGTGTGACTGTGCCAGAACTATCACCCCCAGATTCTTTGTATTTCCGCTCAAATTCCTGATTCTGTCGTCTCATGGACAACCTCCTGAGGGCCAGTTCCAAATCGTTTGAACCAGGAATACCCGGACCACCTGGAAGTCGCCTTGTGCTGAAGCTGAGGACAAAGCAGGATTAAAACCAATCAAAATCAGATATGGACATAGAAATGCTAACAATATGCAGCTGTATTGATATTGAAGGAGGTAATACAATAAATTGAAGATTATGTGACAATGCCTTCATTCTTTAAGAATGGGGTCACCAGGTATATTTTGAGAAACAAAAGTCAGATATGTTTTGAACAACAGAAAAATTAACAATTCACATAAGATTTAATTGTGAAAATACTTTTTTTTCAAAACTCGAATTTTGAATAGGTTAGAATTATAAATATAATTTTCAGAAAGTTGACATTTAAATGTGATAATACGTCACTATCATCTTCAAGGATGTTTTGCATGCTCAGTAACATGCCCAGAGTAGAAGTGCAAAATTCAAATTCCTTTAAAATATACTTTATTTTAGCTGGACTTAATTTTCGCTGAAAAGACTTTTTGCATGTCTTGTATGGAATTTATTTTCACTGATTTTTGAAAAGTTGAATGTAAAATATAGGAAAAAAGGTATATTCGCTGGATTTCATTTTCACAGAATCATTCCTTCAGAGAAAATTAATTCCAAGCGAAAATAAAGTATTTTACAGTAATACTTTGTCACAATCTTACCTTCCAGTATCACTAGATTCCCCGTCGCCATGGTAATGATCACTATGGGGTGTGCCTCTGTCTGATCCACCAATGGAGCTGCAAGGCGAGGTATGTTTACTCGTAAATGTAGATCCAAATCTAGATCCGGGGATACTATGAAAACCACCTGAAAGACGTTTTGGATTTGCTGCTTTCACTGTCTTCATCACATTCCTGTTGTGAGCTCTAAAAATAAAAATGAACATATTTATGACAAACCTTTGTAATGCTCAGTGAACTGGATATCTCTGTGAACTGAACACTTTTGTAACACTTAGTGAACATAACACCTCTGTAAACTGAATACATATACCTCTGTAAACTGAACATCTTTGTGAACTCAACACCTCGGTGAACTGAACACTTTTGTAACCTCCAGTGAACTGAACACCTTTGTAACCCTCAGTGAACAGAACAGCTCTGTAAACTGAACATTTTTATGAACTGAACACCTCTGTAAACAGAACACTTTTGTAACCTTCAGTAAACTGAACGCTTTTGTGAACTGAACACCTCTGTGAATGACAATATTTCAGAATACATGTAAGTGTGACATTTTCACTCATCTTTTACACATTGCATTACAGATATATAATTGTGAATGTTTTGACTTACTTGTGTTCTTGCGAACTATAACCCTCAGCTGACATTAGACTGTGCTTAACTGTACTCTCAATCTCAGATGCCAAGGAATCCTAGGAAAATCAAGTTAGACATCATTTCGACACCGACAAATCATTCTGTTAAAGGGGAACCTTCCAAGCCCAGGGATTGCACCAAAGAATCATGGGACACTGTTTTTTCATGTTGTTTACAAAGTTAATCTATCTTTTGTTATCCTTTGTAATTTTAATCCAGAAAGTAAATTTGTTGTGAGATTAGGCTTAACTTGAAGTGCCCCTTAAAGGATGGCATGCTTTTATTTGAAAAAAAAGCAAAATAATTAACCCATACATTTGTGAGTGAAATTGTTGGACTGAGCTTGGTCACATTTCTGAATATTAACAGAACCCATCATGGTTGAATAACTAATTAAATCACGATAACTGAAATTTACAAAATTACATTTTACAAAAAAAATGAATTGGTGAAATCAGAAGTAAACTTGGTGCGCAGATATACACAGTACTGTAAGCACTGCGGTAAATGCTTACTTGTGGAAACAGAGTGCGACTTGAAAATGACGGTCTGGTTGCCATGCTGGGCTTTCTCATAGATTTGGTTTCTTCTTGAAATTCTTCTAACATTTCCATGCATTGGGTATGTTTGTCTTTCAGATCTGTAAGCTAAACAACAAACAATGGAATACATCACACATCCTGACAGCTTATGACATTATCTTTTGGTGAACATCTTGACAATAAGCCATTATCAATTTCTACGATAGTTTCAGTTTGGAAATCATGGTGTAATCCATGGATATTTTTTTCCTAATGTTACATTGAGACAAAGTAAAACAAAATATTATACAATCTCACTGCTATGTGAGTAGGGATCTCTTCATAGTATTTTGTTGATGGCATATTTTACTCGATAGACATTCTGAATGGCTAAGGACACCCATAACCTACCAGGCTAAGGGTCAGCTAGGTGAACTTTAACAAAACAACAATTTTAAATTAAAATAATCATTATAAAATAATTATAACAAGCAGCCTGTCTGTTGAGATAGCTCCACTGTTAGCAATGCACATTTCAATTAAAGAACTGAAGACATCATTAGAAAATGAACAATATGTATAGTATCAAAGCAAGGGGACTTTCAACAAGAATTCAAAAATATCACTTTTCACCAAAAATGACCATCAAAATTAGATAATTGAAGATATCATCATGAAATGAATAAATCTGAAAGAGGTCCACATGTAGTACCTATATATGTAATATAAAAACAATCGGACTTTCAACAAGAAGTCGAAAATATCACTTTTTACCAAAAATGACAAAAATATTAAGCAAAATTAGAGAATTGAAGATATCATCATGAAATGAATAAATCTGTAAGTGGTCCACATGTAGTACCTATATATGTAATATCAAAGCAATTGGACTCGCGGTTTTTAACGAGAAGTCGAAAATATCACTTTTTACCAAAAAATTTCACCAAAATTAGAGAATTTAAGATATCATCATGAAATGAACAAATCTGAGAGGGGTCTACCCAAGGTACATATACACCAAGTATCAAAGCATTCAGGCTTGTAGTTTTCAAGAAGAAGTTGAAAAAGTAAAAAATTGACACGGACGACGGACAATCACTCATATGATAAACTCCGCTCGACAAAGTTGACAGTGGAGCTAAAAACATGAATGAATGACTAACCTCTACTGTTAGTTCATGTTGTGCCTCTTTACCAGCATCCAATTCTTTATGTAATTCTTCGTTCTCTATGGAAAGCTGAATAAAACAAACAAATCGTCGAAATTCATATAAGCTCACGTTTAGTACGTACTGAATATTCATACCATCAAATATATTAAACAAGGCCCTAATAAAGAATGCAACAATAAATGACTAATTTCACCACCAGACTTTCTCGCCTAAATTTTTCTGCACTTTTTGTTCTCATATTTTTCAAATATTCTTGAAATATTTCTGGAAATGGAATGAATTTTGGAGCCAACAGACAAAATTTGAGTCAATTTTCAGTTTTTACTCAAAATACAAAACAATTCCAATTTTCAGAAGGGAACTGCAGACTATAAACAGAATTTGTGGTTATTTTTTTATTTGATGATGGCTAAATGTCCACTGTTACACTGTGAGAATTCAAATCTAACAATATGACAAATTCTTTTCTTCACAAACCAGAGAATTTAAAACCTCTGCTGCGAAAATCTAAACTTACTTTGACAATAAATATGTATCCCTGTGTGATACTTACTTTCTTGACTTTCTGTTGTAGATCTACTATCTGTGCAAGGAGATTTGTTGCTTCTTCTTGTTGTCTTTGTATCTCATCGTACTTTCTATAAAGTTCATCTCGGAGTACTTCTTCTCTCGTATTAGCTTCCCCTGAAGAACGCAAATTTGAAATTCATTCGATTAATGCACACATGGAACTAGCCAGAAGATGAGTTCTCCATCACACCTTTTTTTATAAATCCTTGATACTGTACTTGATACTTTATTTTTTCTTGGAAATTATTTTTTTGCTATTTTTATTGAATCGATGATTTCATGAAAATAAAACCCAGCGAATATATTTTTTTTCCTATAATTTACATTCAATTGTGAAAAATCAATGAAAATGAATTTTATACAAAACAACCAAATACATTTTTATTTCAGTGAAAATTAATTCCAGCCAAAAATAAAGTATTTTACAGTAGTAGACCTACTACTGTAAATGCATTAATTATTCACTGGGTTTTAATTCACTATTTTTGCTGCTAAGTAAAATCCGCTAAATTAAATCTGTGAACATGTAAAATAACAATAAAACTGATTGTTTCCTTGACAAATTTGTGAAATTAAAACACAGAGAATACGCTAAAAACATCAAATATTGAAATCAAATGTCAGTGAAAATAAATGGTTTAACAGTACAGCAAAATATGAAACGTACCTAATTGCTTGACACAGTCATGAACTAGTTGATTTTCTTTTTCTTCATAGTTTGAAGTTTCGTTTCCTAACTGTGCAGTTTCAAGTTTCAGTTGAAGATTTTCTTCTTCAAGTTTTGCACATTTCGTATTTAAAGTATCTATGTCATATATGGATCCTCGAAAAGAATCACCACGCTCTCGTCTAAAAAACAAAACAAGTTACCGATTAATTCTGTAAATTTCACAATGTAAATAGAATGTCTATCAAGGCATTGGTATCTCTATTCTCAGGGGGCGGGGCTATGTCACAGAAAATACTACTTGCTAAGATGTGCACCACTGTACCGTGTATTTCTATGGGCTCTGCACAAGCTGCTGTGGAACGCCGGTCGAAGAGTCAAGTCAAGAAAACAGCGCAAGCTCAACTATGAGCCAATCCTGAACAACCAAATTTAGATGTTGCACATGTGGGGGTAATCTTGTTACACTGTTCAGAACCATCCCAAAGTACATTTTTTCTTTGACCATTGTTTTTACTGGTTGTGGTTGCAAGACAATATGATATCAGAATAACTTCATTTGTATGCTTTAAATTTGTGATTGGAATTTTAGCAAAACCAACAAGTACTAGTACATTTAAAGGGGTATTCGGCAGGGTCAACATTCCAATATAGTTGGTTCCACTTTAAAAGAATCTGTTTAATTTTCAACTTTTATAATAACACCATTTGACAATTAAAACCAACCGCTTCAAATTTGAGTACTCAGCTCATTCAGGGCTCTATGTTTTAATTATTATTATTTAATTATTAAATTAAATTAATTAGAGTATGAAATTATTATGGATAAATAATTGCGCGGAAATGAGATCACCTTGACTCCTTGCAGAATGACTGATAGTCTGACCTGGTAGAAATGTGTCACATTGCTAGGCAACACAAACCTGCCCACACTATGACATCACAGTCACATCAATACAGATATGCAAATTGACTCACCCTGATGATGATGAGGTCTCATCTTCCGATTCTGTATAAATAATTTCATTTGTATAAATTTGTAATAAATCTGTTTTTAAATTAATTTCGTGAGTAAGCTGAGAAACCTGCAATGAAAAACAAAACAGGAAATTTGTATATTACAGAGTGATTGTGCTTAAGAACAGGTGTTATTATATTACATGCATCTAACTGATATACGAGTATTGTAATTTACTTTCCAAAACAGACACCAACATTCAGCCTAACTGGCTGCCATATTTTGAACAGCAGTTTACTGTGGAGCAATGGTTCATACAAGAACGAACAAGTTTAACTGAACTGCGAAATACCTACTTGAAGGTGCTGATTCTAAAACAGCGACATATTTGCATGATAATTTAAACCCAGTAAAAATGTCAACAAAAGAACAATTGAGCTAATTTTGGTTGAATTATGGGAAAGCTCACCTTCTCAGTGGCATGAGTTAGTTGTTCTTCCAACTGGTCATTTTTCAGTTCTAGATTTTTGTTCTGCTGCAAAAGGGTTTGACCAATTTTGGCAGCGAGTTCCAAGTCTTTTTCTTTCTGTAGAAGAAATGAAATAAAATAAATATATGAATGTAATAGTTCATGCAGTATGAAGACAACGAACAGAGAGAACAGAATAACTGAAATATATGTCATGTACAGTTTTGACAAGCTCTTCTCAAAAGTTCAAAGTTTTGTGCAACGTACATGGCCACTATTTGTTGTTTGATGAGATTTATGAAGCAATGCATCAAGCAATGTACATTGTACTGTCTGTTTCCTCATAAGTTGCTTCGTTGTATGCTATAATCACATCACAAAGTTGAGACGAGCAAAATCAGCAGAAAAACATCAGTTTTTAAGACAGGTAATCACTTATTGTCACAGAAAATTATTTGCCTCATGTACACATTATTGTTTCCACCGTTGCTTCATGTACAACTGCCTTTAGGTAAAGTCTAAACTTTTCTTTTAATTTTAATTAAATTAGCATAATGTGTATACCATCACCATATTCATCCAGCAGAAAAACATATCAGTTTTAACTACTCGGTAATCACTTATTATCACAGTAAATTAAGTGCCTCATGTACATATTATTGTCATTTCATTGCTTCAATCTTTGCTTCATGAACAACTGCTTTTAGGTAAAATCTGAATTTAATTAAATTAGCATAATGTGTATACCATCAACATACTCATCCACATAAAATTTCTACATGACTTACTTCTTCCAGAAGTCTTGTCACTGCATCTATATCATTGTATGTTTTGGTCATTTGGCTTACACGCTCAGCACATAAAGCTTCAAGAAAACAGACACAAAATAAATTATACATGGATTTATTTAATTTTGACAGAAACCTGTGTAATACCTTATACTGTAAAATGATTTTCACTGGGTTTAAATTTCACTGATTTAGCATTTCAGGCATATTCAGTGGGTTTTAAATTCACAGTTTTATCATTTAGATAACGGAAATCTTATATGTGATCGAGAGAAAAGACATATCTACAAGATATGCCCAAGCCACCAAGTACATATTCACAAGACAGATCAGTTGCGGTTTGAGTAAGTCATTTACACTCGTCTGTCAAATAGACTCACGTTATCGGTAGGTATGAAACCGTAGAATACGTAGCAAGTAACTTTAGATCAGTAGCTGTGATGAAGTACGTTTTGATTTGTAAACGGAAGACTGTTACAATGCCAAAACAACTATTGAATTTAATAACATGTTCAGTAATTACGGAAGGGTGGATGTAGACTTTGATTGTCGTAGGTGTATGGTATCTTTTTTTGTCAATAACAATGCAGGAAGAATTCATTGATATACAGGGAGTCAAGTTACATAACACGAGACACCTATGACAATATACCATTGTTATTCGTACAGTTGTACCCCATAAAACACTACAACGAAATGACCTACACATGGTCATTCACTCCGGAATACTGAAATATTGCACCAGGGAGGGATTTTGGGACCACTGACACACTAATTCAACTTAATGTATCAATAGCCTATGTAAACACATGGGTTGGCCCTGAGACGTCATTGTATAATACAAACTTATTGATTCAAGTGAATTGATAGAATGCTGAAGTCTCGAGGCATGTAGTTATTCTTTTCAGTACACAAGAAATCTATAATTCACATTTCTTTGATTTTAAAAAAAATTGGATGGTGACAAAAAAAAATCATAAAAATTGTTGACCTACATATACACTTAATAACACTAGAGTTTTTGATTTACATTAATACCATTTATTATGGATATAAATTAAAATAAAGTCAATAAAATCTGACTGTACTGTTAAACTGTTATCACATATGAAATGTACATATATAAATTAATACTCAGATCTGTCATTTATTCTAACTATAATACTGGTAATATCAGCCATATTTATACAACATATGCTGAAAAAATGTTTATCCCCACGTTAATAAAACGATTATCGCATTACCATTCAGATAGAGGCAAGAAATAAACTTGACCATAACAAAATTGTGGGCACTGTTTATTGTAATGATATTCAAATTGGAGGCTTTAATGTTGAAAGCTATATTCAAACCATATAAATCATTAATTCTTCCTGACAAATGTAATGTCAAAAAAGAACCCTTCTCAGAAGGGATGCATTTTTCGCAAAATTGTCTGAAAAGATTATATTCATTTTATCATTTTTGCTGTACATGTATTAAAAGGGGTAGGTGTTAGCGTTATCCCCACCCAACCCTCCTCTCCCGGGGATGGCTATGCATAATTTATTTTTGGAGAGCAGAGAGGGGTTTATTTTATTAACTCTGAAGTCAAAAAGCAAAGAATTACTGCATGACGATGCAGGGCCACCCTTATAAATAGAAGCCAGACATTCTTAGGGTATCTTGCTAAGAAGATATGCCTATCTGAAGCAAGTCTCACAAATCTAACAGTGTGGGTAGAAGGACAGTGCACTGACAGGACCCTACGGTTATCTAAAGCTGATAGGAAGGGAGTTTTTACAGCGATTAAGAATCTACTTTAATAATTTATATTGACGAGTGAACTATATAAATGAAACTTCACCGTGCTGAGATTTTAGAGCTTATATTGCCATCTATGGGAGTCACCAAACAAAAGATATCGTTATAGAGGGACACATTTATATTGGCGGCGAATGATTGGCAACCATGGTGGGCGATTTTAAATATGCGACTCGCAGTTTACGATATAATCCTGGTACATGAAGTAGCATAAAAGACGGGTGTGGTCTGTGTTACAAACAATGCCACTTTGTTGTAATTTCCGGAGAATACAAGTTTATGTTGTCATCCGTCTGCGAGATGCAGTGCCATTCAGACAAAATGACTTGCGGGAATGAAGTTTGTCTACAGTCTATCGCCAAACTTATTGAAATATATAGGTTGTGTTCATAGAAAAACCTGATGAATATAGCTGTCAGCAATTTAACTATGATCAGTACGGGTACTCACAGTGATTTTAAGAGTTACATAGTCCAGCCTACCTTTCAGCTCCACAAGCAGCTCAATTGACATTACATTCCATGCAATACAGATACATTTTGTAAATATGAACGACCCAAAAAAGTAGGTTGGGTCTCCTAACATGCGATCGGTCAGCATAAACGAAGTACAAAATGTGGTGGTTTATGGGTCAAAGTCCAATCACATGTTAATCTTTCAACGTGACCAATTGAATACATGGTAACATCTCATCAATTATACATTGCAAGTCTTGACCAATTAAATGTGTCGTTACATCTTAGATTTCGCTATACTGAGACAATTATAACAAGTTAAACCTAAAAAAGTGAGTACACAATCTGGACGCGTAAATTACAAAATTATAAATATATTAATATATTGTAAATCATTTTATTTTCAACAGAATTAATTTTTGAGATTTTGTAAGAATCAAAGTCACCACAATCACATCTAATAATACCAAATGAAATGATTTCTATAAAATTTTGCATTTTTTTTGTTGCCAAAATTTGTTTTCGTGAAATTAAATCGATTCACAGTACATAATCTCCTGCTTGTTTGCTTTGTACAAATACTCAAGTAAATTATTAATCTGAGTTGTCATTTATCGACAATGAATGAAGCTATAAAATCTAGTCAAACATTATTCATATTAAAAATCAGAATGCATAGGTGTAAAGTATGTATCCCAGCATGCAACATGATTGTTATGAAACTTGTTAAAAGAACATGTGCAAAGCATGATGGGAGATATGGTTGACTATATAGTTGTAGCAAGTTGGGTGATCATTTGATGTCACTTTATCTGAATTCATCTGACAGAGGGCAGCATACCAGTATCACCTATGTAGACTAATATTGATTCCAACGAACATCAATTTGCAAAACAAAAAGGTCATCGAAAAGGTTGGGCATTGCGTGATGAATGGAATTTTCCGTTAAAACTGTCATAGCTTATTATTGAACTGTAATTTTTTCATGATGGTATGTTAACATCGAAATAGCTCAGTGGTTATGCTCTCTCCTACTGGCCACGTGAGGGCAGTAACCACCTGTTGATTGCTGAGTAGGAAGAGCACATTCACATATTAGTACCAGCTCGAATTTGTGTTTAAAAAAACATCAATGCGAGTAAATACTCTCACTTGGTAAGTAAAAACTGAATAGTATACGTGTGCCTCAGATTACAGTTGTGGTTCAGAGTGTCAAAATAAATGAAGGAAACGCAACACGGTAAACATTTGATTAGTACATTGTTCATTTCCCTCAAAGACGTGCAGGTTTTACTTGTGTAGTAAATTTTCAGTTGTTCCTCGACAGTGCTCGTCGGAAGACTTGTTACAATTTTATTTGTTTACATATGAAATGAATTTGAACCTGAGACATTCAGCTTTTGACCAACAATTGAACTTCCTAGACTGTATATGTACATGACCTGTTAAAACGTTCAATACGAGTTTAATGCACTCAAATTTAACGAAAAACACAACTTTTAAGCTTATATGGAAACTATGGAAACATCCAATTTGTATTGGGAAAGCAATTCCCACAAAATCAACACTCAATATTGTGTGTAGAAATTCAGTTTTATAAATGAGTGAAACATTTTCAAGAAAAGTATGTCTTTTGATTTATTAACCTCAGTCAAGGGAAGGATGAGTGACACGTACATTTGCTCAATTAGCGAATAGCAAAAAAAAGACATCATATAATACCATTAGTGAATCACCCCAATCACAGAATTTGCAGTTAATATTACTTGTGGAATGCAAGTTTTAGAATTTAAATTGCCGTTGAACTATGAAAGAAGTTATTTACACAATATATACACTCACTTCCCCCTTTGACTGGGCACCTCTTTCTACGTCGGTAGGACTGTCGTAAACCTGTGCAGTATATACTATTTTTTTCACTGTAATATACAGGGTGTACATGCGTACAATATTTATATAGGTATTACGGCATGTACATGTATGGTGATCGATTAATAAAAGATACATTGTATCATATGTATGTACAACTTGTAGGGTATCTTGACACTGAACGGTACCCCAACCCGGTGACGTAAATGAGCAAATTACCAATTATTACACCCAGCTGTATCAACACCCACAACTTAAGTTGAATATTAAGTTTGGTTGCTAGGATACCAAACAAGAGATGTTATGTTTTTGATCATTTCAATAAAATACTCAATTTCAATAACAATCCTCGTAAGTTTCTCTGATTGCCAGAATGCAAACAATCAATGTAAATGAAATAAAATCTTAGTGTTTACTTCATTACTTTTTTATTATTTAGGTCAAGAAAAAAAATTGTGTGGTTCTTATAACTCGACCTACCATATTTTTTACTGCCAGACTAAACTTTTTTTTCAATATTTGAGAAAACGTCACAAACTTGTGTCAGGCTTTGAATGAAGTTTTACCGGAATTCAAAACAAAACTGGGTTATGTAAACAACGTTACACAAGATTTATGACTCGCTTCAAAACAAGTCCTTATAAGCAAGAACACAATGAAACTATTATAACCAAGCAAAAATATATAGAAAACCCTACGTACCGGTACACTATTTTTGAAAAGCATTTTATAGAAACCACACAAAAAAAAATGATTTTGCCTTAATTATTTATTTTTCATATATTTTATAGTTTTGAAAAAAATAGTATAAAAAATATCTGAATTATTATTATTTTTTATTCTCCACAAAAGTTTCAATTTTGATCAGACTGGGGTTGAGTAGAAGGCAACTCATGGAAATACATGCCCCTAAGATAGGTGGCGCTATTTATACAGTAGTGTATATTATGGTATATTAATATTTAAATTAACCACCAGCCTTATGCAAAATAGTATGCCCATGTTTGGAAATAAAGCAAGGGAGGAGACAGATTCAAAGGTCCAATATCACGATGTTGACTGGTCCGAGTTAATAGTGCATTAAACTGCAGACAAGATGTGACATTATGAACTGTGTTGGCAGTGCAGAATACAATGGCGTAACATATTATGGGATATGCAGTGGTGTAATTATGCAACCAGGTTATGAGAACACGCCACCATTCACTTTAATTTCAAGAGACACACATTTTTTATCGGGGAACATTTTTCTGGGGGTCCTATAATACAGAGTGTGAGTGACTTTTGTGAAATGTTGTCTGCAGGAAAGCCATAAAATTCTGAAATAAAAAAAAATTTCTAGCAGTGAAAATAGATAATAGATAATAATGTACTTTGAAACAAGGTATATTTATAGTTCTAAATTTATGTCTTTCGTGGTTATGGGTATGGGTAGAAAGTAAATTATCCGTATGGCAGTTGCTTTAGTAGCGCTAAAAATGGACTTCACTAGATGGTTAAAATAAGTCATATTTTAATGATTCCGCATACAGTAAACTTAATACTGTAAAATGACTAATTTTCACTGGGTTAAAATTTCACTGATTTACCATTTCAGGCATATTCAGTGGGTTTTAAAATCACGGTTTTATCATTTAGATAATGTATTCTATGCTAAATTTTCCGTTTTCACTGGGTTTTAATTTAGCGCATTTTCCAGTCAGCGAAATAAGCAAAATTAAAACCCAGTGAATAATTACCGCCTTTACAGTATTTGGTTTATGTGTACTTCTATTGAATATGCATTTGTAATACAAGTAAATACAAAACTATCTCAGTGATAGGGGTGGGTACAGCGAATGTGAGACTAGTTTTACTGAGCAGCTTGCTTACACAACCTCACCATTAATTGCTAACGGTTTTATATTGTGAGAAATTGCTTGACTGCATCTGAACAAGGCCGTATTTTCTGATTTAATGCAACCTTCAATCATTCATGCAATCTGGTTGTTGAAGGACAGCGTACAAAATGATACTTTTCAAGTTAGAAAATAAGCTTGTGATTTAAACAAACAAAAACGTTAACGCTACACATCATGCAATAGAAATGTTTACTTCCAATGTACTCCTCTCATCCTCAGTGTGAGTAAATAAATATACCAAGTTGTACATCAAATTTATCAAATGCAAATTTTTTCCCAAAAGCAGAAATTAGAGAGGAAAAATAAAGGATATTTTTCATTTTCATGTTATCATGTCAACAAAGGAGCTGACGAAGAAAACAAAAATGATTTTTTCTTAAGATTAAAACTGTATCACTCAGACTAACATTAATGTTCACCAAAAAAAGAAAAAAAGGAAAAGACCTTGACCGTTTCCAGCAAAATCATTAAAGCATAAAATCCACAGTTTGGACTCAAAATGAGTTGATTAAATTCAATAAAACCTCTAGATTATAGTAGGAGTGTGTTAAGATGTGATGAAGTATAAAAATTCACCAATAAATGTGTTCAGTTTGGAGAGTTTTATCACTGAAACTATGCCTGTAATTTGCAAAGGTTTTAATCTTGTGTGGATTTATGTGAAAGACTATCAACGGAATGCTTTTTATCTAGAATTCATTGATGACACACAAAAATGCGAGAAATATCTTCTGTACGTACAATATAGGATTGCAGTCATAATTACCTAATAATTACAAGGACAACTATACAATTGAAAGTGGTTTTCGTTTCAAAGTAAAACAAAAATGCCTCTAAATGAAAATTCCAATTTTTTTTTGCTTTAAACGATAAATTGTTACAAATATACTAGTAATGTGACTGACGTAGAGTGTAGTCAGAACTCAACACTACAGTGAGGTAAAAAAAACGACAACAGCCAAATTAACAATTTTGGTGTTTTAAATATAAAAAATTACTGTTCGTTAAGGGTTACATTTATTATTTGGCAAGTTGGAGCCATAAACAATGAGTGTGGG